TGGTGGGGTGGTGGGGCGGGATGTGTTCGGATGTAGCTCACATTGCCACTCTGCCTTCCGGAGAGTCAGTACATTGTATGTAACATGTGACGTGTGCTTCAGGTGATCCCGCAGATACAGATTACACGGCTGTGGGCTGTGCGGTCACAACCATCTCTTCCAACCTGACGGAGATGTCTCGCGGAGTGAAGCTTCTGGCGGCTCTAATGGAGGATGAGGGAGGAAACGGCCGGCAACTTCTTCATGCCGCCAAGAACCTGGCGGGTGCCGTCTCTGACCTGCTGAAGACCGCCCAGCCCGCCAGCACCGAGGTCTGCCATCATTGTATATCCCCCCAACATATATCCCTGACCCCCCCCACATATAGGTCTATACCCCCAGCACCGAGGTCTGCCATCATTGTATATCCCCCCAACATATATCCCTGACCCCCCCCACATATAGGTCTATACCCCCAGCACCGAGGTCTGCCATCATTGTATATCCCCCCAACATATATCCCTGACCCCCCCCACATATAGGTCTATACCCCCAGCACCGAGGTCTGCCATCATTGTATATCCCCCCAACATATATCCCTGACCCCCCCCACATATAGGTCTATACCCCCAGCACCGAGGTCTGCCATCATTGTATATCCCCCCAACATATATCCCTGACCCCCCCCACATATAGGTCTATACCCCCAGCACCGAGGTCTGCCATCATTGTATATCCCCCCAACATATATCCCTGACCCCCCCCACATATAGGTCTATACCCCCAGCACCGAGGTCTGCCATCACTGTACATGTCCCTGTATATATAATGGTTGGGGTGTATGTAATGTTTACATCGGTTCTGTCTTCAGCCTCGGCAGGTTCTCCTGCAGGCAGCTGGAAATGTCGGTCAGACAAGTGGAGAGTTACTGCAGCAGATCGGCGAGTGTGACACGGACCCACGTTTCCAGGTAAGCTTCCATGTTCCTTCCATGTTCCTTCCATGTTCCTTCCATATCCGAGTCCACTGGGAGATCGCCGCGTATTCATTCCGGAAATATGGGTCCTGCTCTTCACTATGATTGTGACTTCTACCAGGTTCAAGGTCTGACCTCCATTGTCTGTCTGTAGTCCACCATAGGGTACCAGGATGAAGGTCTGACCCCGCCCCCCCTCCCAGATCCCGGTCACCTTCATTGTCTGTAGTCCACCATAGGGTACCAGGATGAAGGTCTGACCCCGCCCCCCCTCCCAGATCCCGGTCACCTTCATTGTCTGTAGTCCACCATAGGGTACCAGGATGAAGGTCTGACCCCGCCCCCCCTCCCAGATCCCGGTCACCTTCATTGTCTGTAGTCCACCATAGGGTACCAGGATGAAGGTCTGACCCCGCCCCCCCTCCCAGATCCCGGTCACCTTCATTGTCTGTAGTCCACCATAGGGTACCAGGATGAAGGTCTGACCCCGCCCCCCCTCCCAGATCCCGGTCACCTTCATTGTCTGTAGTCCACCATAGGGTACCAGGATGAAGGTCTGACCCCGCCCCCCCTCCCAGATCCCGGTCACCTTCATTGTCTGTAGTCCACCATAGGGTACCAGGATGAAGGTCTGACCCCGCCCCCCCTCCCAGATCCCGGTCACCTTCATTGTCTGTAGTCCACCATAGGGTACCAGGATGAAGGTCTGACCCCGCCCCCCCTCCCAGATCCCGGTCACCTTCATTGTCTGTAGTCCACCATAGGGTACCAGGATAAAGGTCTGACACCTCAGCTCTTCTGCAGTCCATGTCCCTCTGCTCCTAGAAGAATATTCCACCTTCTCTTGACATGTTTTGATCTCCCCATCTGACATCTTCGGCTTCCTCCGGCAATATTTGTGTTTTTTATGGATTCCTACAGATCTCCGCAGCCAGGGCCACTCGCACAGCGAACGCATTGCCTGAGCCGAGAACGGTAATCCGGTGGCCTGTCTGGGGGCAGTCTCTCTCCCTCTTCTCTGGATGGTGTTGGGGTTTTGGCTGCAATCATTCATGGGTCCCTCCCCCGGGTCTCGGGGATTGTTCCGGGGGGAGGAATGGAGCTCTGATTGATTTTCTATCATTTCCGGGTTATAATGGTGGCAGCTGATTGGGATTTCCATGGCAGGAAATGTCTCTCAATCCTTTCTATCGATCACATGGTGGAAGTGTTCTGCGGTGATTGCGGACACTGTGGTGTGGTGATTGTGCATGCACGCTGGTATCCCTCTCCACCATCTTCACTGCTCTACGGCTGAAATCAAAATGTTTCTGGAAGTTCCTTTAAAGCCAACTCCGGGCTAAACTGTTCTAGGTTTTTACTATTGGATAGTGTGAGGAAGGCTAGAACCTCTGGTTGTCCTGCTGGGGGGGTTTCTCGCCGCTTTTTGTACCCCCCGAGGGGTCCGTCCAGCTGGTCAGCGTAGAAAACCTAATGAAATGGTTTGTGGAGTCACACTGCCCCATCATGGCGCCCCTCTGCATAGTGAACTACCTGACTCCCCAGCCTGGGACATAGAGATAGGCACCGTACTGCAGCCCAGGTCCAACAACACACACGACAGTCCAGGCTCGGGCACAGTCCGGGCTCGGGCACAGTCCGGGCACAGTCCGGGCTCGGGCACAGTCCGGGCTCGGGCACAGTCCGGGCTCGGGCACAGTCCGGGCACAGTCCGGGCTCGGGCACAGTCCGGGCTCGGGCACAGTCCGGGCTCGGGCACAGTCCGGGCACAGTCCGGGCTACAGCTGAAGACCCCCAGTGTGTGTCTTCACCAAATCCAGCAACCCAAAAAATGGCGGACGCTGAAACTGATTTCCAGGTAGTGAGAGAATGGTGTACAGGGGTGGAGTATCTAACCCTTCCCACTAATTAGAACTAAGAATGCAACCCAGAAATAGTTCTGGCTGGAGTTGGTCTTTAATTACACTCTGGGCTTTCAGTGTGATTGTTGTGTGGCCAGTGGTGGGCTCTGGATGGCCTGTGCGATGGGCTTCTTAATTACTAATGATAAGTTCCCCATGGGGCCATTGGTTGGTATTGGTGGGCTCTGGATGGTATAGGTCAGTGGTGGCGAACCTTGGCACTCCAGCTGTTCCAAAACTACAAATCCCAACATTCATCTGGCTCTCGGAGTTATGTCTGTGGCTGTCAGAGCCTTGCAATGCCTCATGGGACTTGTAGTTCCAAAGCAGCTAGAGTGCCAAGGTTCGCCACCACTGGTATAGGTGATGGACTACTTATTGCCTGATGATGAGTTCCCCATGGGACTGTTGGTGGTATTGGTGAGTTCTGGATGGTATAGGTAACAGGCTTTTTAATGATAAGTTCCCCATGGGACCATTGGCTGATACTGGGTGGCACTGAATTGTATGGGTGATGGACTAATTATTGCCTGATGGTGAGTTCCATTATGGGACCGTTGGGTGATATTGGTGGGCTCTGGATGGTTTGTGTGATGGACTTCCTAATGGCTAATGATAGGTTCCCCATGGGATTGTGGGCTAGTACTGGTGAGCACTTGATGGTATAGGTGATGGTCTTCTTATTGGGTGATGGTGAGTTCCCCATGGGGCCATTGGTTGGTACTGGTCCCATGGGGCCATTGGTTGGTACTGGTGAGCACTTGATGGTATAGGTGATGGTCTTCTTATTGGCTGATGGTGAGTTCCCCATGGGGTCATTGGTAGGTATTGATGAAGGCTTTGGAAAGCACTTTCCATGTTTGGGGTCATCATTTCCATGCTGGTACTTCTTCCTTTTATTAGTAAGGTGCTGGCGGTACTTCAAGGGTTAGCCTCAGGGTGAAGGGTTCATATCCAGTCATATGACCTGTTCCAAGGGGACAACACTGCTCCTTCATAGGTACAGGACGGTAAGTGAGGACAGGAAGTGATCACCAGGTAAAAATAAAGTTTCAGACGGGTTAGGTGACCAACGTTGGTGCTAAGGCCGTAGTCACCAGTAGTCACCAGTAAATGTGCTGTTGTTGAGGTCTGCCTAATATGGTGGTGGCTTTAAGGGTCACGCAGAGCTCTGCATGATGAATTGGGGCGACTGGTAACCCATAACACATATACAAAGCTGTTGGTAATCTTGCCAGTGACTAATTACCAGTCCAGTGAATGAGCCCAACAAATGGGCCGCCGAGTCCTGAAGGTGACCCATTAGTTGACGCCTCTGGTGGTTTTCTTGGCTATGGATTATCTGGGCTTGTTGGACGTTATATTTATACTTCACATATTACAAAACCTTTCGGCTCATTCTGGATCCATTCCGGTTGGATGTTCAGCTGGTTGAGGTCCAGCAGTGAAGTGACCGAGGAGGGGTCTGGAGATTGGAGATGGAACACCATAGTAGCCATTATTTGGGAGTGGGCGCGTTCACTGAGCTGCCTGTAGGGAATTGGAAGAGGCGGCTCATGTCTGTTTTGAGTTGGGTTTTATGGAGAGTGTAAACCTTGGGGGGCCTCCATGTTGGGGTTGCCTGTAAATCTGATTATTGAGGTGTAAACTTCATAGCTGTTAGGCTCTGTGCTGTGATTGGATCCCTATGGTGGCATCATGGGAGGCCATTGTGTATGACCAATTGTTTGGTGGTGGGACCTTTCACTTGCCGGTGACGCGCTCCCGATTCTTGAGGTATAGAAGGTTTGGTGAGTATTTCTGTATTCATTGTATTCCTTCATACTCCTTCCAGGACATGCTCATGCAGTTGGCGAAGGCCGTAGCAAGTGCCGCGGCAGCCCTGGTACTGAAGGCCAAGAACGTAGCGGAGCGGACGGATGACCCCATGGAGCAGGCCCAGGTCATTGCTGCTGCCACCCAGTGCGCCCTTTCCACCTCTCAGCTGGTGGCTTGTACTAAGGTAAGACATCCGAACGCCGTCTGCCCCTCACTTCAGTCTACGCAAATGCGAAGTACGCTGACCACCCGTGTCCCCCTTGCAGGTTGTGGCCCCAACGATAAGTTCCCCCGTCTGTCAGGAGCAGCTGTTGGAGGCTGGAAAGCAGGTGGCCAAGTCAGTGGAGGGCTGTGTGGAGTCTTCCAAAGAAGCTACCGGAGACCCGGAGCTCCTGAAGGCTGTCGGTGTGGCGGCATCTGCCGTCACCCAGGCGCTCAACGACTTGCTGCAACACATCAAGAAGAATGCCACCGGAGGACCTCCGACGGGCAGATACGACCAGGCCACCGATACCATCCTCAATGTGACGGAGAACATCTTCAGCTCCATGGGAGATGCGGGTCAGTCCTCATTCCTTTCCTTCAGCGGGAAGAGATCGTGGTGATGTAATGTCCTCGGCCATGAGAAGGTCCTCCGTGTGTAACTCTCACTTCTATGTCACCGATCGGCAGGGGAGATGGTGCGGCAGGCTCGTATCCTGGCCCAGGCCACGTCCGATCTCGTGGGCGCCATTAAGGCGGATGCCGAACAGGAAAGTGATCTGGAGAACTCCCGAAAACTTCTCAGCGCCGCCAAACTTCTCGCTGACGCCACGGCACGAATGGTGGAGGCCGCCAAGGTGCGTTCTATGGCTGTGAGGCCACCTAGTCACATGGAGGGTGCAGTATATCTAACGCCTCTCTTCCTGTATATCTAACGCCTCTCTTCCTGTATATCTAACGCCTCTCTTCCTGTATATCTAACGCCTCTTTTCCTGTATATCTAACGCCTCTCTTCCCGTATATCTAACGCCTCTCTTCCCGTATATCTAACGCCTCTCTTCCCGTATATCTAACGCCTCTCTTCCCGTATATATAACTAAATCCTTCACTAGATAGTAAGAGCGGCCCCCCCAGATTCCAGAGTACTGGGAGTGATAGTCTGCCACAGAGCAATGTGCTGCAGAGCTGACAATCTACTGACCATACAGCTATAAGGAAATGTACCCGTCTCCTGTCTTCCAGCAAGCAGCCAAACAGGCCGCCGCGTCCGCCACACAAACCATCGCCGCCGCTCAGAATGCCGCGTCCAGCAACAAGAACCCCGCCGCACAACAACAGCTGGTGCAGAGCTGCAGGGTAAGTCACCTGTTTCCTGTCCTCCGTCCACTTCCTGTCCTCCGTCCACTTCCTGTCCTCCGTCCACTTCCTGTCCTCCGTCCACTTCCTGTCCTCCGTCCACTTGCTGTCCTCCGTCCACTTGCTGTCCTCCGTCCACTTGCTGTCCTCCGTCCACTTGCTGTCCTCCGTCCACTTGCTGTCCTCCGTCCACTTCCTGTCCTCCGTCCACTTCCTGTCCTCAGTCCTCTACATTCCTGTGCTGTCCACTTCCTGTCCTCCGTCCTCTACATTCCTTCCTGTGCTGTCCACTTCCTGTCCTCCGTCCTCTACATTCCTTCCTGTGCTGTCCACTTCCTGTCCTCCGTCCTCTCCGCGGTCTCTCCATGTATGTGGTCAGGTCTGCGCGGTCTCTGCATGTATGTGGTCAGGTCTGCGCGGTCTCTGCATGTATGTGGTCAGGTCTGCGAGGTCTCTGCATGTATGTGGTCAGGTCTGCGAGGTCTCTGCATGTATGTGCTCAGGTCTGCGTGGTCTCTGCATGTATGTGGTCAGGTCTGCGCGGTCTCTGCATGTATGTGGTCAGGTCTGCGCGGTCTCTGCATGTATGTGCTCAGGTCTGCGCGGTCTCTGCATGTATGTGGTCAGGTCTGCGCGGTCTCTGCATGTATGTGGTCAGGTCTGCGCGGTCTCTGCATGTATGTGGTCAGGTCTGCGAGGTCTCTGCATGTATGTGGTCAGGTCTGCGCGGTCTCTCCATGTATGTGGTCAGGTCTGCGCGGTCTCTGCATGTATGTGGTCAGGTCTGCGCGGTCTCTGCATGTATGTGGTCAGGTCTGCGCGGTCTCTGCATGTATGTGGTCAGGTCTGCGCGGTCTCTGCATGTATGTGGTCAGGTCTGCGCGGTCTCTGCATGTATGTGGTCAGGTCTGCGCGGTCTCTGCATGTATGTGGTCAGGTCTGCGCGGTCTCTGCATGTATGTGGTCAGGTCTGCGCGGTCTCTGCATGTATGTGGTCAGGTCTGCGCGGTCTCTGCATGTATGTGGTCAGGTCTGCGCGGTCTCTGCATGTATGTGGTCATTGTTGGGTAGCCTCCATATTGGAGGTCACGGGGAGGGGAGTCTTTGCGTGTTGTAACGTTCGGTTATCTTTGTGTCCGGCAGCTTGTGGCCGATCAGATCCCATCGTTGGTTCAGGGAGTCCGAGGGAGCCAATCACAGCCGGAGAGTCCGAGTGCCCAACTGTCACTCATCAGTGCCAGCCAGAACTTCCTGCAGGTGCCGTATCGCTGCCACCTGATGTTACCCCGCCTTGTGTGCCGTGTCATTGTCTCCTGCGCCGCGTGTCTCCTGCGCTGCGTGTCTGGTTGAGTGGAGACGCATGTACCATGTCACCAGTCCGGTCCTGCGCCGCGTGTCTCCTGCGCTGCGCGGCTGGTTGAGTGGAGACGCATGTCCCATGTCACCAGTCCGGTCCTGCGCTGCGTGTGTCTCCTGCGCTGCGTGTGTCTCCTGCGCTGCGTGTCTCCTGCGCTGCGCGGCTGGTTGAGTGGAGACGCATGTACCATGTCACCAGTCCGGTCCTGCGCTGCGTGCGTCTCCTGCGCCGCGTGTCTCCTGCGCTGCGCGGCTGGTTGAGTGGAGACGCATGTACCATGTCACCAGTCCGGTCCTGCGCTGCGTGTATCTCCTGCGCTGCGTGT